CCCCCCTCCCCCCCCCTCCCTCTCCCCACAAGCCCTGGTACACCCCGGATTCTCAGGGCTGTGGCTCCTCGTTTTACAAATGAGTAAGCTGGTGGCAGGGAAGGAAGTAGGCTGGGCCATGACCCAGAGTCATTATGATTCACGGGGAAAACCCTCCCAGTTCGACTCTGTGTACAAAAGGCTTTGTGGGGCTTCCTTGGATCGCAGGGTCAATGGATGTATGTAGACCGCTAGGGGTCTAGACAGCCCCTCACCACCCCTCTGCCAGCTCCCCCACCCCCTGGGTCGGTCTGCAGTCCTGGACGGGGGATCCTGTGCCTGGGGGAGGTGTGGACAGGTGTGGGTTGTGGTGTTGTTTATACGTTAAACACACTGGGATTCCAGGTAAGTTTCCATCAGCAGAAAGCCCTTCACTGCTCAGGCAGAAATTTCAAAATATTGAGCTGCTTTTGGATCCTGGCAGAAGGGAGTTTTCCTGGAGTGATAAAAGTGTTCTAAAATTAGATTTGAGTGAGGGCTGCACAAAAGGAATTATGATATTATTAAAGAAATCGTGGCTTTGCTGAGAAAACTGAAAACGGGAACACAGAGCATTGGAAGGTGTTAAGGAACTGTTTGTTTTTATTTTCACTGTTTAGGTGAAACAATGGCATTGTGAATGTGTTTTTTAAATGAGTCTTTATCTTTAAAGGTACAGGCGGAAATAGCTATGACTGAAATGATCTGATGGCTGGGATTTGCTTTCAAATAACACAGGGGCTGTGGGTGAGGAAAGGAAACCAGATTGGCCATCAGCTGAGTGATGGGTATGTGGTTTCAAGGGAGATACCATTCTGTGTGTGTGTGTGTGTGTGAGAGAGAGAGAGAGAGAGAGAGAGAGAGAGAGAGAGAGAGAGAGAAACGGAGCCTTCCTCTATTGCCAGGCTGGAGTGTAATGGCATGATCTCAGCTCACTGCAACCTCTGCCTCCCGGATTCAAGCCATTCTCCTGCCTCAGCCTCCTGAGTAGCTGGGTACAGGTGTGCACCACCACATCCAGCTAATTTTTGTATTTTTAGTAGAGATGGAGTTTCACCATGTTGGTCAGGCTGATCTCAATCTCCTGACCTCATGATCTGCCCGCCTCAGCCTCCCAAAGTGCAGGGATTACAGGTGTGAGCCACCGCGCCCGGCCTGAGTACCACCATTCTTCTCTCTGCTTTTGATGGATATGTGACATTTCCCAAAATAAAAAGTGGTTTTTAAATTTTTTTTTTTTTTTTTTTTTTTGAGACGGAGTTTCGCTCTCGTTACCCAGGCTGGAGTGCAATGGCACGATCTCGGCTCACCGCAACCTCCGCCTCCTGGGTTCAGGCAATTCCCCTGCCTCAGCCTCCTGAGTAGCTGGGATTACAGGCACGCACCACCATGCCCAGCTAATTTTTTGTATTTTTAGTAGAGACGGGGTTTCACGATGTTGACCAGGATGGTCTCGATCTCTTGACCTCGTGATCCACCCGCCTCGGCCTCCCAAAGTGCTGGGATTACAGGCTTGAGCCACCGCGCCCAGCCTAAATTTTTTTAACCATTAGCCTGGTGCAGTGGCTCACGCCTATAATCCCAGCACTTTGGGAGGCCGAGGCAGGCAGATCACTTGAGGTCAGGAGTTCAAGACCAGCCTGGACAACATGGTGATTCTCCTGCCTTAGGCTCCTGAAGTTGCTGGGATTACAGGCACCTGCCACCACACTCAGCTAATTTTTTTTTTTCTGTATTTTTAGTTGAGACAGGGTTTCACCATCTTGGCCAGGCTGGTCTTGAACTCCTGACCTCGTGATCCACTTGCCTCAGCCTCCCAAAGTCCTGAGATTACAGGCGCAAGCCACCACACCTGGCCGCCTGGGTGCTCTTTCTAGGGTCAGGAATGAAGGTGACGTTTGGTCGTTTCTCCCCAAGAACAACCTCCCCAGGACCAACCTGAGTCAGCTCCAGACCTTGCCAGGCTGGCACAGGAAGCCACACCCTGAGGTCAGATCCCTGAGCAAATATTACAGCCCCTTCTGCCCCACCCAAGATAAGGAGAGGCTGAAAGGGGTCCAGAAACCTGCTTCCGCCCAAGAGATTAGCTCCAGCCACACCTCAGTATCAAGGCCTCCCCATCCCTGCCCAGGGAGGATGGGACAAGGATTCTGCCACAGAGGCCCAAGTCCACCGTTTCATCTAATACGTATTAATGATCTCAATAGCGGGCAGGGTCTTGAAAAGGAGATAAAGGAGTCCCAGCCTCCTCCCGCTCCCTAGGGAACTAAGTGACTGGTGAGATAAGAGGGCTGGGCAGGCAAGGGGTGACCCTGACCAAACAAGGTCACAGACGGTGTCCCCAGATGGCTGTGCTGAGACTAAGACCCACCTGCTCCAACCTCATGAGGCAATGGCCCAAAGCTTCAGTTTACCTGTCTGCAAAATGAGCTTTCTTGTGGGCGGACAGCGGGGAGCTGGATGAGTTAACAGGAAAAGCTGACGCTGTCAAAAAGAATCATGGGCCAGGCGAGGTGGCTCGTGCTTGTAATCCCAGCACTTTGGAGGCCGAGGCAGGAGGATCACGAAGTCAGGAGTTCAAGACCAGCCTGACTAACATTGCAAAACCCCATCTTTACTAAAAATACAAAAATTAGCTGGGTGTGCTGGTAATCCCAGCTACTCAGGAGACTGAGGCAGATGCTTGAACCCAGGAGGTGGAGATTGCAGTGAGCTGAGATCACACCATGGCACTCCAGCCTGGGAGACAGAGCGAGACTCCATCTCAAAAAAAAGAAAGGTGAAATGAATGTATTTAATACAACATATGCAACATGTCATTCCAGTACGGAATCAATATAAAAAATGATAGCCGGGCGTGGTGGCTCACGCCTGTAATCCAAGCACTTTGGAGGCCAAGGCGGGCAGATCACCTGAGGTCGGGAGTTCAAGACCAGCCTGACCAACATGGTGAAACCCCATCTTAAATTTAAAAAATATATAGAAAAATTAAAAAATGATGATTTTTTAGTTTTACATTATTGTATGTGTGTCTTTCTTTTTTTTTCATCTTTTTTTTTTTTTGAGACAAGGTCTCGCTCTGCCGCCCAGGCTGGCGTGCAGTGGTGTGAGCACAGCTCACTGCAGCCTCAACCTCCTGGGCTCAAGCGATCCTCCTACCTCAGCCTGCCAAATAGCTGGGACCACAGGCATGCAACGCCACTCCTGGCTAATTTTTAAATTTTTTGTAGAGACGACTTGCCATGTTGCCTAAGCTGGTCTCAAACTCCTGAACTGAAGCCACCCTCCCACCTCAGCCTCCCAAAGTGCTGGGATTGCAGTGTGAGCCACTGTGCCTAACTCCCCTTATTGAACCTCTACTCCAATGTCGCTCTGAGGTGTCGCCTTGCTGCCCTGCACAAACCAGTGCCCAACCACCTCCATCCCTCCCCTGCTTTTTCTCCACAGTGTTGTCACCACCTGTTCTAATTCTGCTCATGTTTGTATTTGTCTATTCACTGTCTCCCCAATCAATAGGTCAGACGTCAATCTACGTCTATCTTATTCATGGCTGTAACCCCACCGCACCTAGCGCAGTCCCTGGCACATAGTAGGTGGTCCATAAACATTTGTCAAATGGTGGAGGAACAGCAGCGTGCTCTGACGCAGGCCCAGCACTGAGTGCTCCATGCGCCTATTTTGTTTTTTTGTTTTTTGTTTTGAGACTGAGTCTTGCTCTGTCGCCCAGGCTGGAGTACAGTGGTGCGATCTCAGTTCACTACAACCTCTGGTTCCTGGGTTCAAGCGATTCTCCTGCCTCAGCCTCCTGAGAAGCTGGGATTACAGGTGCCTGCCGCTGTGTCCAGCTAATTTTTGTATTTTCAGTACAGACAGGGTTTAACCATTTGGCCAGGCTGGTCTTGAACTCCTGACCTCATGATCCACCCGCCTCGGCCTCCCAAAGTACTGGGATTACAGGCTTGAGCCACCGCGCCCGGCCCCATGTACCTATTTTGATCCTCAGAAGAGTCCCAGGGAAGCCAATGACATGACCACCCACACCCACTGCACGAACAGGCAAAAGCCCCTGCCCACGAGGGCCCTGTCTGCTTTCTGCCCAGCCCTGGGCCTGCTGAACAGCAGGTGCTAAAGAGCCTGCAGCTCTTGACTGAACCAAGGATCTGGGCTCATAGCCGGGAGCACCAGAGGAGGGGCCAGGGAGGTGGAGGATGGGAGCAGGCTGGGAAGGGTGGGGGTGACACCGCGGGGCCTCTAGAACCCAGCCTGGTCACACTCTGCAGGCAGATAGTGGCTCACCAGGAACCTGAGCCTCTCTGAAGACTCCTCTCTGTGTCATCCACACCTGGTGTCCAGTTCCACAAACATGCTCTGAGCCCCTGCTCCGTGCCAGGCACTGTGCTGGGCAGTGCTGGGGACACAGTGGTGACAGCCCAGCCCTGCCCAGCTGAGGCTCCCAGGTCAGTGGGGGAAAAAGACCCAGCCCCAGACAGCAAGAACCCAGGGCGGTCAGGGCTAGGACAGGGAATCCAGGGGGTACATGACCCAGCCTTGGAGTCCAGGAGGGCTTCCTGAAGGAGGGGGTTTGGGGAAGGCAGTGGAATAGAGCAGAGGAAAGCAGGGATATTCTGGGTAGACAGCAAGTGAGACAGAAGAACTGAAGCAGAGGGTTCTCGGAAGCAAGGGGTGTTCTATATAGCTGGTCAGGTGGGCAGGGGTCAGGCTGGGCAGGGCCTCCTGGGCCACAGCAAGGCACCTGGGCTTCCTCCCAAGGGCACTGGGGAGCCACAGCAGGTTCTGTGCAGGGAGGGGCAGAGTCAGGTTTCTGTTTTAGAAATAGCCTCTGTCTGCCATGTGGAGGGGCAATGGGAAGGGGTGAAACCAGGGCCAGAGACTAGAGAGGAGGTTAGTGGGGAGACAGGAGACCCAGGCAAGGCGGGGTGGTGGGTGGTCACCTACACCAGGGCGGGGGCTGCAGGCAGGGAGAGAAGATATACTTGGAGTCAGTTGCCAGAGGGAGTGGCGTCCTCGGGAAGTAGGGGAAGCATCAGGGATGAAGCCCCGGGTCTCTCTTCCCAGTGATGAGGTGGGCAGTGGCACCTTCCCTGATAAGGTGACCAGGAGAAGAAACACTTCTGGGGGAACACGCCAAGGTCAGTTTGGGACAAGGTGAGTGAGAGGTGCCCAGGGACATGGGGGAGGCATCCTGACTGATACTGGGACGAGGTCCCAGGGCTCCGGGCCAGGAAGGAGAAGGGGGAGGTGAGGTCGCAGGTGGGGAGAGGGAGCAGGAGGCGCCAGGACATCCTCCGAGCCTCTCACCTGGCCTCACCCTCGCCTCCTCTGGGCCTCCCCCCACCCCCGCTTGTCAGAGCCCTGCCCAGCGAGGTCAGCCCAGGACACGGTGCTGGAGGAACAAACGAGGACAGGTGAGCACAGGTGTGGCCCCTGCCCGGAAGCAGGCTGCTGAGGCCTCAGAGGAACCACGACCCAGAAGCCATCAGGATGTGGGTGGTAAGAACACAGCTACCAGCAACTCTGGCCCCGAAACCCCTCAGTTCCCGCCCAGCAGCGTCTCAGAGACACCTTCCCTGGTATCCTCCCTGCACCCCAATTTAAAGTGGCAAACCAGGCCAGGGTCAGTGGCTCACACCTGTAATCCCAGCACTTTGGGAGGCCAAGGTGGGAAGATCACTTGAGGCCAAGAGTTTGAGACCAGCCAGGGCAACATAGCGAGACCCCATCTGTACAAAAAATAAAATGGCATATCCTTTCTGACTTATTTTTCAGTCTGACATGTAAGATATTTACCTTCCCTTGGTTTACTCCGCAAATGTCGGCCTCCCGAGGGCAGGGGTTTCATCTGTCTTGTGTACTAATGCATCCTCAGCGCCTAGAACAGTGCCTGGCAAACAACAGGAGCGTATTCAATATTCGTCCAATAATTGAATGAGTGATTTACCGAGCATTTGCTCTGCGCCAGTCATTGCGGTAAGCGCTGTACTTCACACGTGTGTCTCCTTAATCCTTACAACAGCCCTGTAATATGAGGACCATGTTTTTCCCATTTTACAAATAAGGAAACTCAGGCCTGGCCAATTCCACAAATTGCCCACGGTCCTGGAGGTAGAAAACAGTGGAACTATGTCCAGAGCCTATGCTTGCTCCTATGAGACAGAGTCTCGTTCTTCTTGCCCAAGCTGGAGTGCAGTGGTGCAAGCTTGGCTCACTGCAACCTCCGTCTCCCAGGTTCAAGCAATTCTCCTGCCTCAGCCTCCCGAGTAGCTGGGATTATAGGCACTACAGCTGCTTGCCACCACACACAGCTAATTTTTTGTATTTTTAGTAGAAGTGGGGTTTCACCATGTTAGCCAGGCTGGTCTCGAACTCCTGACCTCAAATGATCCACCCGCCTCGGCCTCCCAAAGCGCTGGGATTGCAGGCGAGAGCCACTGCACCCGGCCCAGAACCTGTACTTTTTATAGCAGCCGCACCAATCAGACCTCATGTTCAGGGTCACATCCGCCAGGCCCTGGCTTCAATTCCTGACTTGTGGCATCTCACTAACTGCTGTCAGCAGCCCTGAAGTAGGGTCCATATCATCTCTATTTTTTTGTTTGTTTGTTTTTGAGACAAGAGTCTCCCTCTGTCGCCCAGGCTGGGGTGCCGTGGCATGGTCTCTGGTCACTACAACCTCCATCTCCTGAATTCAAGAGATTCTTCTGCCACAGCCTCCCTAGTAGCTGGGATTACAGGTGTGGGTCACCATGACCGGCAAATTTTTGTATTTTTAATAGAGACAGGCTTTCTCCATGTTGGTCAGGCTGGTTGCGAACTCATCACCTCAGGTTATCTGCCCGTCTTGGCCTCCCAAAGTGCTGAGACTGAAGGTGCCCGCCACCATGCCTAACTTTTTACATTTTATTTTTAGTGGAGACAGGGTTTGACATGTTGGCCAGGCTGGTCTTGAACTCCTGACCTCAAATGATCTGCCTGCCTCAGCCTCCCAAAGTGCTGGGATGACAGGTGTGAGCACCACACCCGGCCACCATCTCTATTTTTCAGAATCATAAATGAGGACTCAATAAGGGCGTCTCCCCAGCCCCACTTTGGGTAAGTGCAGAGCCAGTGTCAAAACTCAGCTCTCTTTGGCCCCAAAGCCTCCAAATACACCCATTTGACAGATGGGGGAAAACAAGGCCTGCGGAGAGGGAGAAAGAGAATGTGAATTTCCGACCACTTTGCAGGAAGCCAACAAGAAGCAGAGCCCTGAAGAAAGCATGTGGCTGTACAGCTTCCTGCCCTTCTATCTGGGTTTGCACACAGAGCAGGGCTCAAATCCCCTCTCTCTGCAGGAACCTGGACAAGCAGGAGTCCCCACCTGGGGCGTCGGTTTCTCCATCTGCAAAGGGGAGTCCTAAAGATGCCCACTTTCCAGGGTTGTTTATTTTGCCATCCATGGAAATAACACCTGTAGGTCCCCTGCACGGGGTGGGGCCAGGAAAGGCGCAGTCACTTTTTACTGATTTTATTCCTTGGAGACTCCCAAGCTCTCCCAGGAGGCCATGGGCCTGGGTGGTCGGTAAGAACTACCCAAAAATCTTCCCCCGCTTCTCCTCCCTTCTCCTTGGTGACCTGGTTCTTCTCCCAGTACCAAATCCCGGCCTTCAGCACAAAGAGGGTTAGGCGGCTGCCCCAGGAGGCCTGGCCAGGTCACGGCCTCTGCCTGGTACCTGCCACACCCACCCTGGTACCCAAACTGGGCCCCAGATCCTTGGTGACTCGATCCCTCCAAATTCAGGTGATCTCCCCTGGCTCCAAATCACCAAACCCTCCCAGGTCCAGCGGCAGACGGAGCCGAGCCCCAACCAGGAAGGGAGTCTGAGCGCTGGGACTTCAACGCCACCATCTCCAGGACTCTTTTTGGGGTGACAGATGGCACTGACTGGGTACAGCTGGCTACTCCTCAGTGGTGAGCGAGAATGGCACCCCCCAGCACCTCAGCCCCCCAAGGACCCCAGGGAGGAGAGGGGATCCCGAGTCCGAGAGAGGGAAGGTGTGAGCCCCAGTATGCTAGGGAGGGAGGGCAGCCCTGCTTCACACTGGCACATTCACCCCTCCAAGAGGCACCTGCATGGGGCAGGCTGGGGACAGCCACCCAAAGAGGTTTTTAGGATGGGCTTTGGAGATTTCTAAGCCCAGGGCACGAGCCAGGACAAGAGAGCCACTGTTGCTCCTCCGTTTCTGCGGGTTTCTGTGTTTTATCAGCTATGGAAGCCTTGACGAGGCTGAACTCTTCCCAGCAGCTATTTCTCCCAGAAGATGTCTTGGGGCAGTTGCTTCTCCCTTCTCAGCCTCCATGTACCTATCTATGAAATGGGCCTCACTGACAGGGTTGTGTGAAGGTCACTATCAGCAGCACTGGTTCCCATATCTGCTGTGTGCCTAGAGCTGTTCTGAGAGCTTCTCATATGTTTAAAACCACCTATGAGGGGCCAGGCATGGTGGTTCACGCCAGTAGTCCCAGCACTTCAGGAGGCTGAGGCAGGCAGATCACCTGAGGTCAGAAGTTCGAGACCAGCCTGGCCAACATGGTGGAACCCCATCTCTACTAAAATACAAAAATGAGCCAGGCGTGGTGGCACAAGCCTGGTAGTCCCAGCTACTCGAGAGGCTGAGGCAGGAGAATTTATTGAACCTGGGAGGTGGAGGTTGCAGTGAGCCAAGATTGCACCACTGCACTCTAGCCTGGGCAACAGAGAAAGAATCCGTCTCACACACACACAAAAAAAACCAAGCCACATATGAGGGAGGACCACACATGAACCCCACTTCCCAGGGAGAAAATGAGGCTCAGAAAGGTGAAATCACTGGCCGCTGTCACACAGCCAGAAAGTGGCAGGACTCAGGGCTAGACCGGGAGTCCCTAGCTCCTAGCCATGCTCTAACAGCCTGGAAAGTACTGGAAAGCTGGCCAGGCGTGTAAGCACTGCCATAGCCACCGGTTCCAGGGAACTGCACGCCATTCAAACCCAAGCAGCCTGATCAGCTCATCGGGCTTGGGGCTGATCTGCTTGGTTGAGAAGGAAAGGCGTGGAGTGTTTTCATCTTACCCTTGCTTTCTGCCATAGGTGAGCTTGGAGAGGCCGAGGAAGAGCCCCAGACTGGGAGCCAGGACTCAGGGACAGGCCCTGACGTCCTACATGGGGCCATGCAATTATCTGGGCTGGAAATGCAGCCAGATCTTCTGAGACTTGGTTTGGTGACTGTCACGATGGGAAAACCCCTTGGGTCCGGCTTAAAGCCGTGGTCCTATGGACTGAGCACTTGCTTTGTACTTGCTGTATGCAAGACGAGATGCTAGATCCTTGCACACAGTTCATCAAACTCAGTCCTCACCACACACCCCTCCCTGGGACTGAGCCCTAACTAACATGTATTGGGCACTTACTGCATGCCAGGCATTCTAAACATGTTATGTGTGCAGAGTCCTTACAACCTTACGGGGCAGGTAGACCTGTCATCCCCACGTAAGAGTTGAAAGAACAGAGACACAGAGAAAGGCAGTGTACTCAAAGCCATTCAGATAAACTCCCAGAAAGATTAGGTGGCTAAGATGTGGAGAGTCAGAGAGTCAGGGGTTCAAATCCTGTCTGTGCCTGTCCTCATTTACACAGAGGACATTGAGCTGGGGATGTGCCCTGAGGCTGAGTCTCTTCTGATCAAACCTGCCTCATCCAACCCCTCTGACTCCTCTTCCTCAGCCACATTCCTGAGTGTGGGGGCCGAGATCTCTATCACCCTGGAGCCTGCCCAGCCGACCGAAGGGGACAACGTCACACTGGTCGTCCACGGGCTTTCCGGGGAACTGCTCGCCTACAACTGGTACGCGGGGCCCACGCTCAGCGTGTCGTACCTGCTGGCCAGCTACATTGTGAGCACAGGCGATGCGACACCTGGCCCCGTCTACACGGGGCGGGAGGCTGTGCGCCCCGACGGCAGCCTGGACATCCAGGGCGTCCTGCCCGGGCACTCAGGCACCTACATCCTGCAGACCTTCAACAGGCAGTTTCAGACCGAGGTGGGCTACGGACACGTGCAGGTCTATGGTGAGACACCCCCCAAAGCACCCCTGTGCCCAGCCAGGCCTTCCCACCTCCTTCTCAATCCTTCTTAAAAAAAAAAAAAAAAAAAAAAATCCAAAAAATGTTTAAACCATCAGGGAAAAGGGTTATAAAATACCATCAAAATGATCACCCCCTTCAGGAAGCCCGCCAGGATTAGACCTGCCTCCTAAACCATTCTTTGTCCCTCCGGCTGAGGGTATAGGGGCACGGCCACAACCCAGCTATGGCCTTGTCTGGGGAAGGGAAGGCCCTTGGAGCAGGCGGTGCCCGGCCCCCTCCCCCTCTGTCTCTCGCTTCCACAGAGATCTTGGCCCAGCCCACAGTCTTGGCCAACAGCACAGCACTGGTGGAACGTCGAGACACCCTGCGTTTGACATGCAGCAGCCCTAGCCCCACCGCCGAGGTCCGCTGGTTCTTCAACGGTGGAGCCCTGCCCGTCGCTCTCCGCCTGGGACTGTCCCCCGATGGGAGGACGATAAGCAGGCATGGCATCCGCCGGGAGGAGGCCGGCGCCTATCAGTGTGAGGTGTGGAACGCGGTCAGTGTCAGCCGCAGCAAGCCCATCAACCTGACGGTGTACTGTGAGTCCTCCTGGCCCCACCAGAGATGCCCAGCGTCCAAACCTCATCATGGGGAAACCGAGGCCAGGAGAGGGGGCCCAAGGGCACACAGCGAGTCAGCAGGCAAGCTGGGGTTGGGGACCAGGGGTCCCTCTTAAAGTGCTCTGGCCCTGGCCAGGTGCAGTGGCTCACGCCTGTAAATCCCAGCACTCTGGGCAGCCAAGGCAGGAGGATCACTTGAACCCAGAAGTTTGAGACCACTCTGGGCAACATAGCAAGACCCCATCTCTACCAAAAATATAAAAATTAGCCGGGAATAGTGGCGCATGCCTGTAGTCACAGCCACTCAGGAGGCTGAGATGGGAGGATTCTTTGAGCCTGGGAGGTTAAGGCTGCAGGTACAGTGAGCTATGATGGCACCACTGCACTCCAGCCTGGGCAACAGAGCGAGATGCTGTCCCGAAATAATAATAATACACTTGCCCCATATCCTAAAGGACTTCTACAGACCACCTTTGCTATTGAATAATCCTTCAGTTAGGAGCAAGACCTGCCGAGAAAGAAAACAGGACCAGCTGGTTTGAAAAAGGAGCAAGGGAGGGAATAGTGTAATGGGAGGGAACATGAAATGTAAACATATAACCAAAGCATGCAGTCATTCCCAGGGGCAGCAGTGTGCAGCGTGGAATCCTGGGATGAGGACCCATGATATAGAAAAACTTAGTGCCTGGAATCATAGACTCCTACAACCAGAGAATTCTGGACTTCAGAAGCACTGAATTCCAGACTCTGAGAATCCTAGAACCTCTAGATGCAGAGATTCTTAGAATCTTAGAATCTAGTCATGAAATCTTAGAGCGTAGAATCTTAGAAACATAGATTTCTAGAATCTTAGCAACTTAGAACCTAGAAGCACCAATTCTTGAAGCCCTAAAATTCTACACTCAGAATGGCTTTGTCAGAAAAAGAAAATCATTTAGGCTTTTTAAAATTTGTTAATGGAGCCATAGATTTCAGAAATATCTTGAAATGTTATCTGGCCCAACACATTCTTTTTACAGAAGAGAAAGCTGAGATCCTCTGAGAGGGAGTGATTCTCGAGATCCTAGAGCAAGTTAGAGTTAAAGCCAGGAGTCAAAGCCAGAGCTGTTTTTCCCCTCCTCTAGGTCAAGATATTCCCAGGGACCTAGCCTGGTGGAGAGAAAGCCAGGGGTACCCACCTCCACTCCCCTTTCCTTCTACTGCCCCATGTCTCTCCCTCCTACCCCCACAGTTGGCCCAGAACGTGTGGCCATCCTCCAGGATTCCACCACCCGCACAGGCTGCACCATCAAAGTTGACTTCAACACGTCCCTCACCCTGTGGTGCGTGTCCAGGTCCTGCCCAGAGCCCGAGTATGTGTGGGCCTTCAACGGGCAGGCCCTAAGGAACGGCCAAGACCACCTCAACATCAGCAGCATGACCGCTGCCCAGGAGGGGACGTACACATGTATTGTGAAGAACACCAAGACCCTGCTCTCTGGATCTGCCTCAGTGGTGGTCAAGCTCTCCGGTGAGTCACCCCCAGCCTGGCCACCCTGCAGTCCCCACAGAGGCCTCATCAGGCTGTGAAGGTTAGGCCGCCATTTGCCCAACAGAGAACTGGCACATGGTAGATTCACGGTTGATTCGTGAGCTGGGACAGATTGGCATAGCAGGCGGATCCCTTTGCATCTGGGTCTAAAGGGAGACCATACAGCCCATGTCCTGTTGACCTGGAGAACAAATGGCAAAGCACTGTGGGTTGACAGAGTGGAAAACCACTCAGATGTCACTTCAGGTGGGTGCCGCTGTTCTAAATTCTGTCACCAGCTGCTTAGGGCCTTGATCCACCCCCATGCCAGAAAGACAGCTGAAATTCTGTGCAGCCAACTAGACTGCCCAGCTATCTGACCCAGATGATGGGCACACACACACACAACTGGAGAATCGCAGCCAGTTGCTGGCAAATGGAGAAACAGCTGGGGAGGCATTGTCACCTGTCTTCTGCCCTAAAATGACCCGAGGGCTGGGGCAGTGCAGGCAGCTGGCATTTCAGAGCCATTGGGATCCTCAGGCGACATTTTCTCATCTTCAGGGGAATGGTGGCTTTGAACATTAAGGCCTCATTAATTCCACCTCGGTTCCTTCCCAAGTGGCCATCATCCCCGGGGGACAGTGGGGAATGGTCCTTCCCTCCCTCCCACTAACAGGCTGGGTCTCATCCAAGGGGTGGATTTTCACCCAAAGCAGAAATGGCATCCCCAGAGGTAAGTGTGCCTTCCGCCCCACTCACCTGGGGCTTTGGCAGCTGGTCTTGACAGGAGACAGGGGGATGGACCAGATGACCTCAGGCGCTACCCCAAGCCCTGCCTGTGCAGGCCAACATGGGGGGTGTCCAAGGTATGCAGGTATGTGCAGGGAGTGGATACAGTGACCCCAGGGCTTCTAGTACTATAAGCAACTCTGTGGTAGGTGCTGGGAGAGAGACAGAAGAAAAGGAGACACCACCCTCCCTCCACCTTGGGAGACTAATCTGATGGAGGAGACATGGCCTCTGTTCTTGGAGAGCTGATCCTGGGAAACATGGCTCCCTTATTCAAGGAATTCCTGGTCAAAGAGAAGAGGCAATGCCTCATCCTCCATGAGCTTCCAATCAGTAATGATTAGAGATGGCAACCCACCCTCAGTGAGCTCCTAGTCAGATGGAGGAGACACAGTCTGCACTTGGGGAGAATTTTCCTTCTGATGGGGAGACTTTGTCTCCAGGAGACATGGCCCTGTTTTTTGAGCATTCCTAGTCTGATGGGGTACCCACCTTTTGGGTACTCCTAATCTGATGGAGGAGTACAGGCCCCCACTTTCTAGGAATTTCCAGTCTGATGGAATAGGCATTTCCCTCTAATTTCTAGGGTCCCCAACTTGAATGGAAAAACTCAGCAACAATTTAGAATTTCTCAATCTGATGGAGGAAACAGGGCTGCCACCTCATAGGAATTTCCAATCTGATGGAGGAGACATGGCCTCCGACCTTCTAGAATCTTTCAATCTGATGGGGGAGCTATAGCTTACACATTATGGGATATCTCGGTGAGACAGATACAAGTCCCAACCATCTCATGGGGAAGACATGGTCCCCATTTTCTGGAATTTCCTCTCTGATAGGGGAGACATGGCCCCTATATTTTGGGAATTTCCAATCTGATGGAGGAGACATGACCCAACCCTTCAGGGTCTTCCAGTTTAATGGGAAGACACCTCTCAAAGGCTGGGGATTTGTAGTCTGATAGAGGAGACACAGACCCCTAGCAGACACTATTCGGACCCAGAATCCACCCCCACCACCACACAAGTCACCTCCTTCCTCAGTCTCCTTCCCAGCAGCCCACATGGGGAGTGCCAGCCAGCTGGGGGGAAGCCAGCCAGGGATGGGAGGGGGACACCATGCCAGACGCAGGCCAAGCTGACCCACCCCTCTCACTCTTTCCCCAGCTGCAGCAGTTGCCATGATGATCGTGCCCGTGCCCACCAAGCCGATGGAGGGCCAGGATGTGACGCTGACCGTGCAGGGCTACCCCAAGGACCTGCTGGTCTATGCCTGGTACCGCGGGCCTGTCTCTGAGCCCAACCGGCTGCTCAGCCAGCTGCCTTCAGGGACCTGGATTGCAGGCCCCGCACATACAGGCCGGGAGGTGGGCTTCCCCAACTGCTCGCTGTTGGTGCAGAAGCTGAACCTCACAGACGCTGGCCGCTACACACTCAAGACCGTCACGCTGCAGGGCAAGACTGAGACACTGGATGTGGAGCTGCAGGTGACCCGTGAGTATGCAGGAAGGGGAAGGGCATGCCCCTTGTTAGATGGGGGGTGGGGGTTTCCAAAAGGAGTCTGCTTCCTACATCAAGCTGGGAGACATAGACCAAAGATGGATATGCCTCCCCCATCAGACTGAAGGAAGCCTTGTCTCCTCCATCTGACTTGGGGGGTCCCCAAATAGGGCTCTGCTTCTTCTATCAAACTAATGACCTACACTGTGGGTAGACAGGCCTCTTCCATCAGACTAGGGGTTGCTAAAGGGGACCCCTCCATGCCTTCTCTCTCGAATAAGAGGTACAGCAGACTGAAGGTTTTAAAAGAGAAGGCATAGTCTGATGGCAGAGCCTCCTTTTTCCTGCAGTCAGGTAGACACTGAAACATAGGAGATATTACCTCTTTCACCATATTGGGGAAATGGGTTAATGAAGGAAGTTTACCTCTCCTATCAGACTGCAGGCATAGAGTAAGGATGAATCAGACCTTCTATTCAGACTGGAAGATCCTGCGCAAAAGGGATCATGTCTCCTCCTTTGTATTATTGCGAGGGCAAAGTTCCTACCATCAGATGGTGGAGTTTCTCTTTCAAACTGAAATAAGGATGGTCTGCTCCATTAGGATGGAGGCTTCTAGGTGTGGAAGTTGTGTCTCCTCCATCAGATAGGGAGTTCCCAGATGTTGGGGACCATGTCTCCCCATCAGACTGGGAGCTCCAGGAGTGAGGGTCTATGTCTCCTCCATCAGACTGGGAGCTCCCAGAGTCAGAGTCCATGTCTCCCCCATCAGACTGGGAGCTCCTGGAGTCAGGGTCCCTGTCTCCTCCATGAGACTGGGAGCTCCCAGAGGCAGGGACCATGTCTCCTCCATCAGACTGGGAGCTCCTAGAATCAGGGACCATGTCTCCTCCATCAGACTGGAATCTCCTAGAATCAGGGACCATGTCTTCTCCATCAGACTGGGAGCTCTTAGTCAGGGTCCCTGTCTCCTCCATCAGACTGGGAGCTCCCAGAGTCAGGGACCATGTCTCCTCCATCAGACGGGGAGCTCCCAGACTCAGGGACCATGTCTCCTCCATCAGACTGGGAGTTCCCAGAGTCAGGATCCATGTCTCTTCCATCAGACTGGGAGTTCCCAGAGTCAGGATCCATGTCTCCTCCATCAGACTGGGAGCTCCCAGACTCAGGGACCATGTCGCCTCCATCAGACCGGGAGCTCCCAGACTCAGGGACCATGTCGCCTCCATCAGACCGGGAGCTCCCAGACTCAGGGACCATGTCTCCTCCATCAGACTGAGCATCCCCAGGGATTTGTGAGTCCATGTTTCTATAGCAGAGCCAGGTTTCCCCCATTAGCTCTCAGACACTTGGGGATGAGATCCTTCCCCAAGTCTGGCATCAGACTGAGCACTCTCACTCTGAAGCCAAGTCCCTGAGTCCAGGATGGTGCCTTCTCTGTCACTGGAAACTTCCAGGATCAAGGACTCAGCCACTGCCAGACACCCACTTTCATCCATTCACTGATGAAACCCTGGTTTCCTGGATGAGTGTTAGGGGAGAATGCTGTTCAGTGGCAGCAGGCCACCCCGACAAAGCCTGGGATTCCTTTTCACCCATTCTCTCTTCTCACAGTCAACCTCCCTCCCTCGCACAAGGACCAACGCTACCTTCCTGAACCTGAACCTGGCACAGGCTGAGCGTGGGGCGGAACCGGCCACTGGGTGGCCCAGCCTGGGCAGGGGAGCAGAAGGGGTGGGGGCACTGGGGACCTGGTCCTCCACCTCCCTGATGGCCTCCTTTGCCCCCTCTCCCCATCTGCCCCCACAGCCCTGGGGTAGCAGCGTGACCCTGGAGACGTCCAGAGAGAAGAGCTTTTCACGTCATCCTCTCGTCCTCACCCCCTGAGTGGAGACCCCTCCCCGCCAGTGAGGATGCCGGGTTGTGGTCCTGCTGTTCTCCTGCTTCCACCCTAGAACTAGAGCCACGGGGCCCCACTCCCTCGCTGAGCTTTTGGGGAGCCACGAAGTCCATAAACGTCCTGGTTAATGCACATGTGTGTCAGCCTCTCCTTCCACCACTGCTAGCCCCCGCCATTTCCCGGTTGCCACAGTCACTTCCTTTCCTGCTTAAGACGTTTCTCAGTCTGGGTGTGCAGGTGCAAGAGGATGAGCCCAGATCACCGTGCCCCACACCCTACTGCTGGATGGCAGGGCCTTGGGCCCCTCCCACAGCACCCCAGGTTAGGCCCCTCCCACAGCACCCCAGGTTAGGCCCTTCCCACAGCACCCCAGGTTAGGCCCTTCCCACAGCACCCCAGGTTAGGCCCCTCCCACAGTGCCTCAGGTTATATGTGAGAGTCCTGCTCCCAACTGGCCAAGGACTTCCCCTCTTGGGGCACCAGCATTCTGTGGGACATGGCCCTCTGTGGGACTACACTGCACCTCACTTTGTCACCTGGACCCCAAAACAGGGCTGCCTGTGCTCGGGAAATGACCATATTTCTCAAGAAGACTTTCATCACCTTCTGGCAGTCCTCACCCATTTAATCAAAGACACACCTTTGTGTCTTCCATTGTCCTGGGATTACCTGGATGTCCCTCAAACATGACCTTCACAACCCTGAAAATATCTCCATCCTTCTCTAGCCACAGAAAAGGCCCTGTGGATGGATGAATGCAAGCAGGGCAAGGATCGAGGCGAGGAGTGCAGAGCTGGGAAGTGGGGGCCAGAATGAGGATGTTTTCTAACTCTTCTCATTAGTGGGAGCCACAGGCCCCACCCAGCCGCAATGCCCCACTGGAGAGAGGCTGTTGGCATTGGCGTGGAGTGGTGATGGCAGAGACCAGGCTTAGAACGGAAAGACAAGCTAGGGCAAGGAAGAGAAAGGGCCTTTTGGGGATGATTGTGTTGAGTTGGGGTGACTGGTTGTCAAAGACCTCCAAAATGGGGGTTATAAAATCCGGATCATAGGCCAGGCACGGTGGCTCCTGCCTGTAATCCCAACACTTTGGGAAGCTGAGCCAGGTGCCTAAGGACAGGAGTTCAAGACCAGCCTGATCAACATGGTGAAACCCCATCTCTACTAAAAATACAAAAACTAGCTGGGCGTGGTGGCGGGTGCCTTTAATCCCAGCTACTCGGGAGGCTGAGGCAGGAGAATCGCTTGAACCTAGGAGGCGGAGATTGCAGTGAGCCAAGATCGCACCACCGCACTCCAGCCTGGGCACAGGCATGAAACCCTGTCTCAAAAAAAAAAAAAAATCTGGATCATAAGCCTGCATTTGCCATGGATTCACTAGAGCCTCAGTTTGCCCATCAGTAAAAAGGTGTGGACTTCAGGTAGGCCAGACTTTTCCAAACCATTTTTAAAAACCACAGAGCCCTGTCTTCAAATGCAGGTTTACACGACAGGTCAATTTATTATTAATATTTAAAATAGCAATGCGACAAATATAGGCCCAGCACTGTGGTCCACACCTGTAATCCCAACACTTTAAGAGGCTAAGGTGAGAGAATCGCTTGAGCCCAAAAGTTTGAGATCAGCCTGGGCAACATGGCGAAACTCTATTTTTAAAAACAAACAAATAAATAAATAAAACCAAATACAGATACCAACTCAATAGCTATACACGTCTCCCCCAAAATTCCTACAGACTTGAAAAAAAAAATTCCTTAAATTTAAATAATGCGCCAGGCGCGGTGGCTCAGGCCTGTAATCCCAGCACTTTGGGAGGCCGAGGTGGGTGGATCACGAGGTTAAGAGATCGAGACCATCCTGGTCAACATGGTGAAACCCCGTCTCTACTAAAAATACAAAAAATTAGCTGGGCATGGTGGCGTGTGCCTGTAATCCCAGCTACTCAGGAGGCTGAGGCAGGAGAATTGCCTGAAGTCAGGAGGCGGAGGTTGCGGTGAGCCGAGATCGCGCCATTGCACTCCAGCCTGGGTAACACGAGTGAAACTCCGTCTCAAAAAAAAAAAAAAAAAAAAGAAATTTAAATAACGCTGGGATTAGCCAGGTGTGGTGGCCTGTACCTATAGATCACTCGAGCTCAGGAGCGGGGAGATCGACGCTGCGGTGTGGTCACACTCCTTCCTGCACTCCAGCTAGATGTGCAGAGAGCAGCTTATACGGATAGCATTCTTTTTCTCACGCATAAAAAATCTCCAGAAGCAGATCATTCAGGGCTGGAATGGAGGCCCTGCAGATTCATCAGGGACATAGCTCTTTCTGTTTTTCTGTCCCATTAGCCTTAGCTTGGGGCTTCTGTCCTCTCCATCACCTCATGGCCCAAGATGGCTGCTGATGTTACAGCTGCCTTATCCATGTTCCAGGCAAGAGGCAGAAAGATGGGGAAAAAGGGCAACAGCAACAACAAAAAATTCCCCCTTGCCAGTTTATGGACTGTGCCCCTCTTAAGGGAATTTTACCTAAGGACCATCCAACAACTCCTGTTTAGATTGGCCCAAGAGTCACATGGCCACCGTAGCTGCAAAGGAGGCAGCAAATTGCAGTCCTTGCCTTGGGTATGTTGCTGCCCTAATCAACATCAAGGTTTTTGTCTTAAGAAAGGCAGAGAGAATGGATCTCTGCTGGGCAGCTGGCCGCTCCAAGCCTTGGAAGTTCTACCTCCTCAGCTAGGCAAAATGGCCTTTCTCACCTGAGCCCAAGGAGTAAGAGTCATAGCCCCAGCAGCAGGGCTTTGGGAAACATGGGAGCTGCTGGTCCGAGCTGCGATTGTATGCAGCTGAAACAGAATGAGGCCAGCAGGAGGGGCAGAGGGAGGGAAGGAGAAGCAGCTCAGGTTTCTAGGTCGAGCCAGATCCCATAGCCTCAGGGTGTGGTGGAGGCTCAAAGACCAGGTCCTCCGTCCCTCTGGGCATCTCTGTGCTCTTTTGCTGAAACCTCGCACATAGTACAATCCCCTTCTTTAAGAGTCTAGGAAAGAATAATAACAACCACAAAATAATGATCAGTCCTATATCTTGAGCATCAGTGTATTAGTCCATTCTCACATTGCTATAAAGACATACCTGAAGGCCGGGCACAGTGGCTCACACCTGTAATCCCAGCACTTTGGGAGGCCAAGATGGGTGGATCACCTGAGGTCAGGAGTTCGAAACCACCCTGGCCAACATGGTGACACCTCATCTCTATAAAAAAAAAATAAATTCAAAAAGACACACCTGAGACTCCATAATTTGTAAAGAAAAGAGGTTTAATCAGCTCAAGATTCTGTGGGCTACACAGGCTTCTCCTGGGGAGACCTCGGGAAACTTACAGTCATGGCAAAAGGTGAAAGGGAAGCAAGCACGTCTTCACATGGCCAGCAGGAGAGGAAGGTGAGGTGCTACACACTTTTAAACAAGCAGTACTAGGCGGATGGTGCTAAAACACTGAAAACTGCCCCCATGATCCAGTCACTTCCCATGAGGCCCCTCCTCCTACACTGAGGATAATAACTCAGGATCGTGAGATTTAGGTGGGGACACAGAGCTAAAGCCTATCAGTTGGTTTGGTCCTTTTTCATGCAAGAGCTCAATGAATTTCCACAGCAGCTCTTAAGAGAAGTTATCATTCCCCTAACTTATAGGTGAGGAAACTGAGGCAGAGACTTGAAAACCTTGCCCCAGGTCGCATAGTTCCCATGGCTCCTGGGTGGAGGTGCTGGCTGGGGAGTCCTCTCCATTCTTCAGCAGGGCAGGGGGTTTCAGGGCACAGCTCTGAGGTCAGACAGAACTGAATTGGCCTCTTTTAGCTGTGGGAACTTGGGTACATTGCTTGCTTTTCCTCCTTATAAAATGGAGAGGATAATACTGCCCCTGCCTCCTACAATTATTGGAAAGATTATATTAGTTAATACAAGTAAAGAGTCGGGCACATGCGTGCTCAATAAACACTTATGATCCAGACTAAGATGTTAGCTTTTAGCAACAGGCAGATGGAAAAAGCAAAGGTAACTCTTTTCTTTTTTTCTTTTTTCTTTTTTTACGGATAGGGTTTTACTATTATCCAGGCTGGATTACAGTGGCGAAATCATGGCTCACTGCAGCCTCCCAAGCAGCTGGGACTACAGGCATGAGCCGCCATGCCCAGCAATTTTTTAATTTTTTGTAGAGTCAGGGTCTTTGCTGTATTGCCAGGCTGGTCTCAAACTCCTGGGTTCAAGCAGTCCTCTCACCTCAGCCTCCCAAAGTACCGGGATTGCAGGCACAAACCACCGCCCTCCGCCTCAAAGATAACATTTGTCCTGGCAAACTCAATCCTACTAAGCAGGTTTGCCTCAGTTTATGTAATATATGATGCTCTTTAAATTGCAATTACTGAGAATTGCTTACAAAAGTAATAATAGGCCAGGCGCAGTGGCTCATGCCTGTAATCCCAGCACTTTGGGAGGCTGAGGCAGGCAGATCACCTGAGGTCAGGAGTTCGAGACCAGCTAGTCAACATGCTGAAACCTCATCTCTACTAAAAATACAAAACATTGCCAGGTGTCATGGTGCATGCCTGTAGTCCCAGCTACTCGGGAGGCTGAGGTTGCTGTGAGCAGAGATCACGCCATTGCACTCCAGCCTGGGCAACAGAGCAAGACTCCATCACACACACACACACAAAAGTAATAATAATAAGTGTTTATGAGCTTTTAGAAACATGATACTCATCATCACAGGTTCCAGGGTAAGGTGCTCTCAGCACAGATTCTCTGACTTGCTCCTCAAAGCTTCCCTTTGAAATGGAACTATTAATACATTTCCCAAATCTCCTAGCTGTGTATTAAAATATACATCCCTGCCAGGAGCACTAGCTAATGCCTGTTATCCAGCACTTTGGGAAGCTGAGGCAGGAGGATCAGTTGAGGTCAGCAGTTCAAGACCAGCCTGGGTAACATTGCAAGACCCTGTCTCTACGAAACAAAACAGAATTAGCTGGGCATGGTAACATGTGTCTGTCGTCCCAGCTACCTGGAAGGCTGAGATGGAAGGATTGCTTGAGCCTGGGAGTGTGAGGCTGCAGTGAGCTGTGATGGTGTCACTGCACTCCAGCCTATGAGACAGAACAAGACCCTGTCTCAAAAACTAAACTAAACTAAAATCATATATATCCCAGGCTCCTGCCTGGGCCCAGAAAAACCTCTCTCTCAAGGGTGGGAACTTGAAAGCAGAATTTTATTTTTT